GGCGGCCAGGGGGCGAGCCCCTACGGCGGCGTCGACTCCCTCATCTCCCTGAGCAAGCCCAACTCGGTGACGAGCTCCAACATGACGGCGTCGGTGGTCGTCAACCTCCCGGCGTCGTACGCCAACTCCTCGGACCTGGAGTACGCCTCCCCCTCCCTCCCCTCGACCCCGCAGAGGACCTCCGAGCAGCAGCAAGAAGTCCGGATATCATTCCTGTAACCTGCCTTAAATTTTACGCCCGCGCCCGCGAGTTCTCCCGCAACGGCCAAGTGCGACTAGGGCCGTCACAGTGCCCATTTCCCAATGTGGCAACAATGTAAATACTCCATTTAAATGCATCCAAAATATCGATTGCACACGGAGAAAAAAAACTTCGAGCATGGAACCCGAAGTTTAGGTCACATGGATCTCTGAAGTTTTTGGATTGAGCATCTGAACACTTAAGGTCTAGCTGCCGAAGTTCAGGTCTGACATCTGAAACTTCAGTTCTCATATCTGAAGTGCTTCAGATGTGAGAACCGAAGTTTTTCGGATGTGAAAACCGAAGTACTTCAGATGCAAGAGCTGAAGTTTCAGATGTGTGATCCGAACCTCGACAGCTAGACCTTAAGTGTTCAGATGCTAAATCTGAAAGCTTCAGAGATCCATATGACCTAAACTTCGGGTCCCACGCACGAGGTTTTTTTCTCCGTACAGCGGGCTGATTATTGAAATTGATAAACAAAGCTATAGATAAAGGAGAAAAAAGAGATATGGAAAGATCCTAATTGGTGGAAGCGGGTGGTTGCAATGGACAAAAGGTAATACGAGTAGACTAACTAACGGCAACCCGCGAGAGACCCGACAGTTAGTCTATCATTTTCTCCCTTTGTCTACAGGGACCACCCATTGCAGCCAATAGGATCGCTCCATACCTCCTATGTCTTCTTCGTCTATAGCTTTGTCCATCAATTTCAATAATCAGTCCGCAGTTGAGGAAAGCTGTCGAGTATGGAAAATTCGAAAGTTTGGAGGTTAGGTTTGATAAGGTCGTGTAGCTTTTGGGGCCTAAAAGGGCGGCCAATTTATGATGTCGAATTATCCAATGGTACTAATTTTCACAAATTGTAAGACGGGTTCACGACAAGGGACATAGCTAAAACGTATTTTTTTTCGCATCTAATGATTTACATTTTCTACTACTAAAAAGAGAGATATAGATTTCCTCCAGTATAATTTACGAGACTGGAACAACCGTTGTCAGAAGTTTACTGGAGCCATGAGTCTCTATGTACATTTTAAATCTCAAAAGCCAATCTTCAGAACTTCGTTGAATGTGGTTTGGTTTCTTTCTGTTGAATTTCATTCAAGTGTAATCGGATCTGAGATGGAGGACCTTTCCAATCCGAGCAAAAAAGTTTTCAGGCAAGAGCGATTTCTGAAGCGCTCGGTCTGAATTAGCGTAATCGAATTTCCTCAGAAATGCACTTTTCATTCTTCGACATCCTCGGAAACACGATTTGTATTGGCTTATTTCAGCTCATTATACTGAAAAGGGAAGGAAAAACACAGCTCCGGTCCATCTCCGTGTTTTTTTTTTTTATTTTATTTGTCCCTTTCTCTCAATGCTCTCGAAGGTTATTCCGGGAAGCTGTCACATTGTTAGAGATCTTGGAAGGAATAATCCGTTGTGCATATCATTCCAAAGTTCATTTTACAACCACCCAATAAGAAGAAGAAACCTTTCTTGTTCATCTGGGAGGTAAAACACAAAATAACACAAACTTTCGATTAATCCATTTGATAGCGGGGTTGAATCGTAAAAAATAAAATAATACCTCTTCATCTCACAGGTTTCAGTCACGTGTTTTTAGATCAGCGCGTCAGATCTTTCCAAATTTGTTTTGAATGTATGCGCCTTCCATTTCACACAGTCGCACTATCGTATATAGTCAGATGAGGTAAATATTGAGACATCGCAATACCTACATGACCTTCCATTGAAATTTCACGCGGTGCGTGGTGGAATAGTGAAATAGGAAGGAGAATTGGTGAGTGTATAAGATTGAAAAAATGAATCTGAGGATGATTTGACGTACATTGATTTTGGATTCATTGTGAGTGGGGACTTAAAACTGGATGATTGTGATGTGAATTACACAAGGCGATCCAAAAGTCTCGCAACTTTAGGACCAGGCACCACCCCTGAAACTTATGGAACAAATTGAGGCAGAGACCAGACATTTTGTGAGTAACTTCAGATCAAAGAAACAATTTTTAGATATTTCCAAAAATTTAGGAGATCCTCTTTGAAGAAGGGATTCTTTTCCTGAAATTTATAAAGATGGTTCGGGACTTTTGGATCACCCTGTGCAGAAACGCTAATCGGCCGCCAATGAGTGATTCCGAAAATATTCCACTGAGCCTTATGTGAAATTTGTACACTGGAAAAAAAACACATTGGATCTAGAGTCCAGACTCTTAAAAACATTGACAAGAAAAAATACTCTTGATTCAATCAGAATCTAGCTTAAATCAAGAACCAAGCCTCTTAATTTAAGCGGATTTCGTTTTGATTCAAGCAAAAATCCGATTGAATCAAGAGTATTTTTTTCTTGTCAATGTTTTCAAGGGTCTGGGCTCTACATCCAATGTTTTTGTTTTTTTTCCAGTGTACGATGGCTATTGTATTTCCGTGCTTCAATTGCCCTAGTAATTAATCCAATCCCAGACTTCGGGGTTCGGGCTGCACAGTGGCCAGATGGTGGGGCCCACATACTTAGCGTGAACGAGCCCTTTTCGCACTTGGCCTTCGGTAGATAGTCTCTCCTAATTTTATAATTCCTATTAGAACTATTTAAGCTGATTGTAGAGGCTGCTACCGGGAGCGCCGCCTTTAACTCAATCGTTTTTTGTTATCTTCCATCCAATCCGTTCGGTGAAGCATTTCAAACAGACTTTAGTTGCCTCTAAATTATACGCAATACGAAAGAAAAACTCTCGCTGGAGATTTTTTTTCTCATTAGTTTCTACTGCCGTAGCTGTTGAAATGCTTTTCCGATCAGGAACTAATTCAATTGGTGATGATTCTGCGTACCAAATCAGGAACTTGTAAGCCTTGCTGATTCCCTTTTTTATATGGGATGCATAGATAGGATTTTCCTACCTTGTTCTTTCTCTATGTTAATAATACTGAACGCACAATTTCGTTTTTTCCCGTAATGAGTTACCTTTTCATAATCTCTGAAAGATGACGAGTCATATATACCAGCAAAACATTAAAGTGAAGTACACCTTGGAGATCGGGGAAATGCAATAATAATTTCTGCCACGTTTGTTACATTGATGACTCTCTAATGTTTAAAGACAAGTTTTACAGTAATTATACAAGCCAACGCAAAGTAAAACTAAGAAACTAACTGTCTATTTCGTCAGAAAATTGAAATATTCACCGATATTTGATAACGACACCTGAATGCAACTCTTCGTGCTCTGTGGATGTGCGTGTTGCATACACCAAAAACTGAAGGCGTTTTGGTTTCTTGAACGCAAATGCAATTTCTGCTGAAGAGATGCGTGTATTACACCTGCAAAAATATGCGGGCACACTTATAGATTTCAAGCTAACAAGTATTGTAGCGCGCCTACTTCGTTTTTTTAACAAGTTGCTGACATTTTGACTTCCCTCGATTTTGTACAATATCAGTGGCAATTTAATAAGTTCAACACGAAGATTGTTGACTAATTTCTGGAACACCATGAAGTAATTCAAACGTCATTGTTTTTCAAACTTCGATTCCGATTCTTACTTTTATGTGTATTTTATGTGTGTGACTCTCTATTTATGATCCACGCTGTGCTACTACCTGTTACAAGTACTTTTTAACTGATAAATCGTAAAAAAACATCATATCTACCAGAGGCAACTAATTAGTAATTAAATCATGACCATTTTTGTTGAATGGTCAGTCCTGTCTACTTTTTTCGAGGAAAATGAAACTGAACATCAAGTTTTTCATTCCTATAAAAATATAAATTATGTTGGAAATACTTTTAATTTGCCAAGTATTCCTATTGAATTATTATTTTAGCTGCCCTCAACACTTCATCTTATTACAAAACTGTCGTATATTAAACATAAATTGGCAACTTTGAATGATATTCTTTCTAATGAGCACAGCAGCACAGTAAGATGTTTTATTACACACAATTTTTAAACCTTCAAGCTGCGAAGACTTTCATCAAGAAGACACAATTCTTGATTTTTCTTCTTTAAAGAAGGAAATGAATCAAACTGCCTCCTCTCGAAAAGCTAAATTTTACGAATTATCATTTCTTACGATCCGCATTACTGTACTGANTACACTAATTGGCAACTTTGAATGATATTCTTTCTAATGAGCACAGCAGCACAGTAAGATGTTTTATTACACACAATTTTTAAACCTTCAAGCTGCGAAGACTTTCATCAAGAAGACACAATTCTTGATTTTTCTTCTTTAAAGAAGGAAATGAATCAAACTGCCTCCTCTCGAAAAGCTAAATTTTACGAATTATCATTTCTTACGATCCGCATTACTGTACTGACTCATCTCAGATCAAGCTCTCTTCTTAAAAACGAGGATTTTTAGATCAGAAAATGTAAGGTTTTCTTTAGATGTATATCAGCGAGGCTTACAATTCCTGTTCGACTTTTGTGCCACTTTTTTGCTGGTATAAAAAAAGCTCTGTTTCATATTAGATGTATAGTTAAGTTATTTTGATTTTGTACGCTGGATTGGTTTATTCCTTCTCACTGAGCAAAAAAAATGCTCTAGTAATTAATTGAACGTATTTATTTATGCTAAAAGGAACTATGAGCATAGGATTTGTACGCAGCATAGTTCCTTTCAGCATTAATGCGTCCAAGCATGATCTTTATAAAAGACTACCGTGAACAATGTTAT